AGTGTCACTTATGGAAATGGTCCTAAGCTGGCTTTGAAGGAGCAGCATATCTGAGGCAGAGAAAAGAAAAGATCAAGGTGTAAAAGTTAATCCTTGCAAGTGGCTGTGTCCTGTGTGAATCAAGTCAGCCAAATCAGAAAATTTATTTTGGGTAGACATTGGAAGAAAAAAATTTTAAAAGTGGAAGGATCAGATTTCTTAAAATATATTTTTAATTTTGTCATAAAAATCCATATTTAAGGTAAGATGATAAGAAATTAAATTAGACAGAGCTATCGTGAACACATGATGCTTCAACAGAAATATCCCCCCCTTGTCTCTCCCCCTCTCCGTGTGTGTGTGTGTGTGTGTGTGTGTGTGTGTGTGTGTGTGTGTGTGTGTGTGTGGTATTTGTGCATACATGTTAAATCATTTTCAACTATGAATTTTCACATCAATCCATAGTTATAACACAACTATAAATACTATTTTGCTTTATTTCTTTCTTGCTTTTGGCATATTTAAGTTATTTTTACATAGTTCTCAGCATGGCATGCCCACAATTATATATTCTACCTTTTTATTTCATATGATAAGCACTTTTCATACATTGCTGCATAATCTACTGAAGGTTTTAAGTGAGGCAAGAGTAATGATTTCATTGTTTGTTCAATTTGGCAGTGGAAGATTTGATCAAGGTGCACATTTTAAACTGTGTAGATTTTTATGATGTGCGACATTCTCATGACTCACTGTGTAGACTGCTGGTGTGGTGGAGCCTGTATCCAGAGATTTCCCTGCAGCTCCCTAGTCCATTAGTCAAGTGGAAATCTTATAACTAAATAGTTTCTCAGAGCTTTTATTATTTGTTGCCAGGCTCAGTTGGATAATTTGTGACCTGTCACATGTGAAGAACTCTTCACTATGAGGAATGCAACCCGAAGCCTAGGCAGGGCCTGAAGTATTATTCTAGGGGCCCCACTGCCAGCTGGCCCTGCAGCTAGGACAAAGCAGAGGCAGAAAAGTCAAGCGCCTGCCTGCTGGGTTTGTGGGTCTCCGAATAGCCAATTTGCTGGGATTAACAGAGGTCTGGCTTAATAAATGTGTCTGCATGCCTAATAGATTTGAGTAAATGAACCTTAAAATACTTTATTTAATTTAGCATTGGGCATTCTATATCAGTGGCCAATGAAGAACTTAAGGATCCTGTTGACTGTTCCAGCTTTGTGGGGAAGGTGAAATCAGCCATGTTGCCATAACTGCTGATGAAAAACAAAAGCAATTTGGAAAACAGAATTAGCTCCTGTATTTACCTAGCATTGATGCCTGTCTGTGGCCGGCCACCCAGAGACCAAGCATCCCCATCCATCAGCGTTTGTTTGCTGTGGCTCTGTGCCCTGACTGGCTGCTGTGATGGCTCCTATTCACCCACCTCTGATGATGTGTTCCCTTTGTCCTTCAGCCCTAAGCCCTCCCTTGGCTCTGGGACATTGGGAAGCAGCCAGAGGAAGACAAGATAAAATTTGCTAGGAAGGGAGGGAATGAGGTTCTCTCAGAGGAGATGCAGTTGATCAAAATCCCATAACCAGCTAATTCTTGGAAGAATCTTCTGGAGAAGGCAGAGGACCACAGGTCCCACTTGGAGCTGACAAAGATGACAAGGGAATGGTGAAGGTTTCCTGAAGAAGAAACTAGGGACAGAGGGGAAAGGCCTTGGTAGTGAGCAATGGAAAGACTGCTAAGGGGCCGGAAACTGGACAGAAGGACAATTTAAGGTATCTACCACCTGAGGGAATAGTTCAGAGTAGAGAAAAATAAACACATTTGTATTATCCCTTTTAAAAATCTTTTACCTAGTATTTTGTGGAAAAAATTTCAGATATACAATAAAATGGTCAGAATTTTACAAGGAACTGGATGTAGTTCCTTCCTAAACTTATGTGTACTGCACAAATTATGTTTATTACAGAAATATCACGCATCTATCTCTGCATTACTGTCTATACATCCGTTAATCTTGATTTTTAAAAATTTATTTTAAAGTAAATTCAAGATTATATGCTTTGTTCTAAATCATTAACCTTGCAATTCATTGTCTGTGGTTCACAGTTTCTTGAAAATTTTCTTCCTTGGGGAATATAAAATGTATCAACAATGGAATGTATGAATCTGCAGTATGTATTTACAGTTTGAAATGCATTCACTAGGGTAGCCTACCTGTGATAATGCCTTATCATTATCCTTCTCCAAGTTTCCTTTATGTTCTCAGCCAATTCCCATCCCAGAGTCCTCCTCATCACAGCTTAGATTTGCCTGCTACAGAATATCATAGGAATGTAATCACATAATACAAATTGGTCAGTTTCACCTCTTATGGTTTTGACAGTCACACATCAATATTTTTATAGGTACCTCTGTATATGCATGCATTAATATTCCTTTTTATCTGTTGTATGAATATCCTGTGGCTAATTTTTATATGCTCATTGGTGAATTTCTAGACTGTCTGCATTTTAAGCTATTGTGAAGAACTGCTATGAATGTCTTTAAGTGTACACATATATTTCCTTATAACTAAATTCTGGAGGCCACAGTTACAGATCATAAAATGTGAAATGGCAAATCACTTTGGAAAAAGTTCTCACAATTTCTAACAAACTAAACTTTCCCCCAAATGGTTGCAATGCTTTTATATTTCTACTAAAATAGTATGAGAGTTCCAGTTCACTTTGTATTTTCAACATTGTTTTGGCATTATTATCTGAAAACAACTTTTAACCATTATACTGCTACATTTTGATGTCTCATTTTGTTTCTTAAGATCTGGGAAGGCCAATGGCTCCTAAGACTTAATACAGTGAACAATACGTAAAACTGTTACCTCCAGCCATTTGTTAATCTCTTAGGTTAATCTCTGAGTGACTTCTCAGAGATAATCTAACTCCAAACTTTCATGTTTTAGCCATAAATCCTATATTTTATTTTTAACTGTCACATAATTAACTGCAGAAAATAAGTATAGTTGTTTCTGTACCAAATAATAAACACATGCCATTGTTTTGTAGACCGCAGAAGAGATTTCTCTAGAAGTTCATAAACACTGTGCAGTTGGCTACTCTGAGATGCCAAGAGCCATAGTGTTAACCTTTTCTCTACACAGATAAAGAGGAGGCCCAGAACAGACATAGAATAGCCTAGGGTCATTCATTCAAATAGTGATGGAGTCAGAGTTTCAAGTCACTGTTCCTGTCATTCAAGAGGCAGCAACAGTATGGTGTACATATTCTCTCATTTCATGGTCATGACCTTCCGTCTTTTTGCAGATTGAATGACACTGCTATGCAGAGCCCCAGTTGACTTCAGTACACTTCTCAAAACAGGACATTAGGGCTGGAAAAAAATGACTCAGCAGTTAAGATTATTTGCTGCTCTTTCAGAAGACTGGGATTTAATTCTCAGCACCCACATGGTGGCATTCAATCATTTGTAACTCCAGTTCTGGGGAATTTGATACCCTCTTTTTGCCTCTGCAGGTACTACACACATGTCTTACACAGTACATGCAGGCAAAATATACATACATACATATAGAATAAAAATAAGCAAAATATTAAAGAAACAGAACTCTGAACATACATGGTATCATGGTGTGTATGACAGATTCATTTCTACCTTATCCTTTGTTCAACTCCAAAGGCACGTGAGTGATATTATAAAGCCATATGTATGATAAATAATGCCTACAGCTTAGAAGCTTTCTTTCATTGAGGGGAAATGGTATTTCTTTATATATTCCCTTCCTTTTTTATTCAATAAAGAGAGAAGAAAATATATCAGAAGCTTAGGGTAGGATCTCTGATTCTGTCCAACTACCACCAGCCTGATCATAAAGGAGTGCTATAGAATTTGAAATAGAAGAAATCAAATTAGTTCTTCAGAAGCCCTGTCAAATATGGTGAACATAAAAGGACTTCAGTCTTACAGAAAGAGCACTGTCTAAAAACTGCATCCCCGAGCCTTTGCATTTCTCTGTGTGCACATATCCAGCCAATTATGAGTACACTGTGAGGGTTGGCGTATACTTACCCCCTTAGAGAGCAGATCTGTGCATATTTCAACAAGCCACATTATCATTCTGTATCTTGTTGTCCCTATGTGTGGAGATGAGAGGAAGTCTGCTCATTTGTGCTTGAGGCATGTCTTCGTTATGTGCCTTAGCTCAGCCTCCAGCTGTTATCCCTCACCTTCCACAGCACAGGGATCATGAGAAGACATGGATAAGAAAACCACTGACTCTTCTATTTCAACATCTGCCTTCTCTTCTACAAGAACCTGCTTACATTCTATCTCTCTTTTTGTCCTTGATAAGTCCATATCTTTTTCTAAGTCAGGAGGAAGCAAAAAGAAAACTAAATCACAACCTATTATATATTCATGTTTGTATATTCCCAAACTAATAAAAGTGAGAAAAATGCTTTGCAAGGGAAAACATATAATTTAACAAAAAAATCAATTGTAGGGCCATTGCATTTTTTGGTGTGTTTTCTGTTGTAAGAATGACACTATGCTTAAGTCAGGTGATACTGAAGTAATAGGTTACTTCTTTGAAAGTCCCTGCAGCCCAATGAAGTATGGTGCAGAACCCAAGGGACACTGGATAATGAGAGGAAGTGATTCCTTGTTCCAAAAGCCATCAGATACAGGCCTTAAAAGCTGATTTTATTTCACTCAGGAGAAAGAACAAGGTGCTATGACAACTCAAGAGTGTCACTTAGTGTTCAGGTTTAAATTTTACGAATCTTAAATTGATTAATACCCTTGCTAGTTCCTGGAGAGATAACCACAGGTTGGGGAAACCAAATAAAATTGTTGTTATTTTTTTCCTTATTCTTTTTAAAATAAAGAACCCCTGAGAGCTGTCCTTCTATGAATGTGCATGGCATTCTGAGATTTACAAGAAGGAAAGGAAATCTGGTACCCTATGGAATTCTGAAGGGATATTGCTATTCTGTTTCTTGCAGCCCCTCATCACCTTGGACAGCAGCATCTCTTTCACATTCCTTGCAGAAGGAACCAACACCATCACTGTGCAGGTAGCTGCTGGGAATGCTCTCATCCAAGACACGAAGGAGATTGCAGTACATGGTAAGCTCTGAACATGGTCACGTGATATTCTCTTCTGCTCAGGCAGTTCCCTCTTCCTATGCTAGTGCCGAACATAAACTGATTTAGAATTTGCCAGCTTATAGGGAGATCATTGAAGTCCACAAATATAGACTTCTTTGGATGGAGGAGTAAAATTAAAAAAAAAAATAAGCAGATCACAGGTAAGCATCTGTTGCTCCTTGTGGAGATAGGCATCTTGTGGTACATCTAGATCATAATATGTTTGGAATATTTATTAGACATAGGCATTTATTATAGTTGAAGGAAAGGTAAAGTAGAAAGACCATAGAAGGAGCTAGATCTGATGATCTGTTAAGGTGTCTGCAATGTGTGTGCAGCACTTACTGTGTCAAATCGGAGAAGTGATCTACAAACTGAAGGAGTAGTGCTCCCCACCCTGTAGAACTGATATCTTGGATAATGAGATGACCTATACAGAGTAAATTTGGTTTTCATTTTTTGATTGTTGAAATTCCATCATCAGCAGCTGTGAAGGCTTTATAATGAGTCTAAAATCATTAGCTTATATAGCTATATATACATTATATATGTCATGAGAGTTGAAACAAAACTGCCTAGGAGAATAAAATGGAGTACAAGGAGGAGTTAGAACGGGGGTCCTATAGAGGGGTATGCACATCTATGAAAATGTCCTTATGAAGCTTAATACCATGCACTATAAAAGTACAGCAATAAAAGTGAATATAAGCTTAGATGAAGGCAGAGAAGATGGCACTCAGGGCTGCTTCTATGTTCTAGACCATGGAACATAGTTCTTAATTACTACATTTATTTTAAGTGAAATCAATGAGCCTATGCTTCTGCCCCTCCAGACCTCCCATAATTTCCCAGACAGCAGCTATCATTGTAGTTGTCTCGAAGTTATACAAATGCATGTGAGCCTCTGACCAAGACATATTTCTCCAGGCTTGCCCAAGTGAGTTATTTTCCTACTTCTATGCCTACTGGCCACCAGAGGCCCTTATTAGGATCTGAAGTAAATATTTTTATTAGAGTGTAAATGTTGCACTGAAAAATGGTGCATACCAGAAATACTGATTTTCATGAATTAGCACTAAGTGGATAAACATGTGTACTCACCAACCAGGTCAAGAAATCAAGCATTACCATATATTCCTAGAGACAAAATTTAACACACTTTCCTCACTTGTGAGGCTTTTTACAGAATAATCAACAATGGAACTGAGAGACAGCTAAGTGAAAAGCTTCCGTTCTAGCCATCCCTGATTGTTTTGCTTTGCTTTGGTTCTTAGACACACAGAAGGGAGTTCAGATCTCCTTCTGGGCTTCCCTGTTTGTGTCTTTCATTTCAGCCAATATTCTTTACAGGAGTTAGCAACATGAGGAAGATCACAAATCTACTCTTGGTGGGCAAATTCGCTTTTTTCAAAAGCCAAAGAGAAACTGAAAACAAGGAAAGATAGCCGAGTCCTTGTGAAAGAGAACTGGTTCCTAATGTACACAGTGATGGGCCCTTTGCCTGTCAAACCCTCTCATCTCACTCTACCAGCTTCACTTGCACATTCTGTCTTCTTGCAGAATACTTCCAGTCACAGCTCTTATCATTCTCTCCAAATCTCGATTACCACAATCCTGATATTCCTGAGTGGAGGCAAGACATTGGCAATGTTATAAAGCGAGCTCTGGTTAAGGTAAGTTGGCTATATCTTTGATTCTTTGGGGCAAAGAAAAAAACATGGATGGCAGGACAAGAATCGAAATTCTATTCTACAGACAGATAAGGATTATTTCTCCATATAGAGAAAGAAATAAAGAAAAGTCAGAACTGGGTAAGGAGGAGAAAAAGATGAGACATGAGAGAGGAAAACTGGGAATGGAATAAAAGCTAGTCTAGTGTTTGAAGATGGAAATTGGTTCAGTGTTTGACCCAAGTATTTCTGAGATAGGGTCTTGACATCCACAATGGAAAATGGATAACCATTTGATGAATCTCTACTAATTTTATGCATTTGTATACCATTTGCCTACGATTAGGCCCTTCTTAAATAGATCTTTAAGTTCACTAGGCTACCATTGGCCACACAGCTAAGAAGCAGAGCACCCCACCAGGGAAATACAGCTATAGATTTAAGACACAGTCCTGTTTGCTTTGGTAAAAATAAGAGTTGTGTTAATAAGTCTCAAAGATACATACTAGAATGTAATGATGAGTAAAGGAGTCACTTTAAGTAGACAAGTAAGTCTATGTGCAATGGTATAGTTCTGTGGTATAGAGGCATAGCCAACATCTCCAAAACGCATGGAGAAGTGTGTGACTCCCCTATCTTGGAGACTGCAAGGTTGTCCCAGACATGCAATTCAATAGACACTTCCAGAACTTTGTAATGGTTCTGGAGGGGATATTTGAACTGTATTTTAGAGGATATGTGTCAGTTAACAGGGAAGAGATTGTGCCTTTCAGACATAATGAACTGTACAAGCAAAGCCAATTCCTGCTGAAGTGCTCAGTATTTTGCAGAAATGACAAAGAGTTTGGTGTAGTCAACTTCTATCTGAGAGGAGAACAAAGTGGGCAACAATGGCCTAGAGTGATTCGGTCATAGTGTGAAGAACCAAAAGAGCTAAGTTGTAGGCATCAGAGACTTGAAGAGTGTGGTGTTTTCTTTAAGTAAGAAAATTCTGTCAATAGATATATATGCCAGGCACCTATTATGGTGGCAATGCAAAAGAAAGGCTGTTTGGGTAGGAAGGGCAGAGTGTGGGGATGATTTCAAACAAATACAGAGGTTGTGTAGACCAGGAACAATTAAATCATAAAGAGAAATGAGCCAAGGATTCATTAAGACGATGAATAATAAAAACACTAGGAACTTATTGGTGAGAGAGAAGGAGAATCTTTGTAATCCAAACAATAGATAGGAGGTGTCCTTGCTATTAACTACTTGAGGACTATGTAGGGGAAAATGTACTTGGGAAACAGTAATTGGTTTTGATCTTTTGGTGTGAGTTTGGAAGACATGAGAAATGACTGCAAAAACATGACTAGCTGGTAATGTGGATCTGAAGGTCAAGCAGAAGTTGAGGATGGAGCAGCAATGTCAGAGTTAATGCTATGGAGATACTGAGTGTTGTTTGAGAGGAAAGTGGGGGCAGGGAATCAAGATTGCTGATATGCTTCAAAGCAGAGGGGAAAAAAAACACAGGAAAAGATATGGAAAAGGAGCTGGCAGAAAGGAAGGGGAAAAAGTAAGTGGGGAGGACAGAGGGGAATTCTTGTAGTCAGTATTTCAAGGGAACTTCAGACTTTCTATAAAGGAATTATTCATAGAAGGAGATAAGAATAAGACAGCTTCTTTATTCTGTCTGGGCTACTGTAGAATGAGTGACTTATAAATGACAAAAATTTATCTCTTAAAATTCTATGTGCTATAAAGTTGAAGACTAAGGCATTGATAAGAGCATGATCCTTAAATGGCATTTTCTCATTTTGTGTTCACATGGTGGCAAGAGGGCAAAGTGGTTATCTACAACTAGTTTAATAAGAGTATTGATCTCATTCACAAGTGCCCTACCCTCATGACCTAATCACCTTCCCCAAGCCCTTCCTTCCAGGACCATCATGTTGGTAATGAGGCTTCAAACATAAACTGTAAAAGGGGCTAAAGTGCTCAGACCATAGTGTACATCCTTACCATGTCATCCAGGATGGGATTGTGTTTTACATACTTGTAGTTATTAAACACTTAAAATATTTTGAAGAAACCATTTGGAGACTGCGTGTCCATTGGTACCTAGGCCTTAAATCTTCAAGAAGTCAGTTACTTATTCACATGTCCATCCCTTTAGACAGGATTAAGTGTATGTAGATGCACAGCTTCAAAGTCACTCTATGACCCCTGACTAACCCTTCCTGAGATCAAACAAGGAGGATCACACCAGCCAAGGCACTGACAGGGTCACCTCTTGGCTCTGTTGGGTAATCTTCTGCACTTTTCACTCTTTCTTGGCCTCTGATACTTGCTACCTCTGGCTAATGAGGTGAAGGTCTTCCTGTTCTGTATACTAGAATGCTGCAACTTCCAGATATTTGGTGGTCATGCCTCCCAACAAGATACGGATACTTCTGGCAAACCACCTTGGGACTTGGAGACAATGCCTTTGTGGTTGGTAGATTCTTTTTTAGACTTGATTGCTGTTTCTGCCTTTCTTCCTGGATCTCTTTGGCTAATAGCAACCCTGAGAGTTAGCTCCAATCATTAAGCCTAGTTCTACATAGGAATCAGAGCTGAGAAAATAGGAAACAATCTACCCTTCTGCCTCTACTCAATTCAGCAAGCATTCGTTGGTTCATTGACTTTCTATCATGCCAAGAAACTTGGGAATAGTGAAGTATCCTCAAAGTTTTCCAGGAATGCCTGGGCAAGCACACAGTTAGAATCTGTCCGAAAAAGACTGCATCTGACAGATACAATTGTAGGCAGTGGTGGACATGATCAGTGTCCCTGACCTGTGCTGGCTATAGTGATTTGAACGTCCTGGAGGAGATCACTGTAGGTAGATGGTCACATGAGAGTCCTTTGAGTGAGGTGGTATTTCAGCTGAACCACATATCCTCTGTCCTTTTCATATTGAGAGAACAGGTCTTTTCTGAATCGAAGACCATCAATACACATAGGAAATAATAATCTACAGGAAAATTCAGTTCACTCTCACTCATTTTTTTTTCAGTCAGAAGTTTGCCTCTTTGAAGTTTTTAGTCACAGAATTCAATAAAATCACACAATAGAAACATTCACTCATAATCCCATCTTAACATTTAGCATCTTAATCTTACATACATTTCATTTTATAAACTTTTAATCAAAGAATTGTATGGAAATAAGATGAGAATTCCACCATCCTAAGCATTCATGTGACCTCACAGTGCTCAACATCACCTTCAACCTAGAATAATATTCTTCCATGTGATTATACCAGTAATTTCTTAATTTTTGAATGTTTAAGCTTTCTATTTATTTCTTATTCTAGTTAATATTATGTTTCTTCCTATATATGGTTTTTCAGACAGTTTGAATCATTTCTTTAGGACTAAACATGTTACAGCTGTGGGCTGAAGAATATGAATATTTTATAGCCTGAAATAGATTCTTTCAGAAAGCAAACTGATTATGGGTGTCAATTCTTTTTCATGTTGCCAGCCCCCGTGAGTGGCTCTCCTTCCACTGCAGCCACACCAATAATACTATTTTAATGTAAAACATTCCTACTTTAACTGGAGAAAACAAGGGCTCTTCTGCTGTTATTTTGAATTTACCACTTCCCCCATGTTCCTTTATAACTGCTTGCTCCTCATTTTGAGCCACTGAGTTAGGTCTCTCAATGAAAACAAACAAACAAACAAAAAGTAAACAATACAAGAAGAACTTTTATAAGTGCTCCCAGCAAATACCATGTCAGAAATCATTTGGAATATTCTCTGAGTTTCAGTAAAAGTGAGAATGAGAGCAGAGAGGGCAATGGTTTGTTCCCTGGCAGCTTGAAGGGGAGACAGAAGAGCAGTCTGGGTGTGTACGACCACCTGGGTCTGAAATACTATGTTTTTAAACCTCATACGGGCCTTATGGCCATGAATACTCTGCTCCTGGCTACTGACCTATGGAAGACTGGCACTTGAACCCTAACTCTTTGCTCTAAACATTTTGCAGGTGACCAGTGTCCCAGAAGACCAGATTCTTGTGGCTGTGTTCCCAGGTCTCCCCACTTCAGCAGAGCTTTTCATCCTTCCACCTAAGAACTTGACAGAAAGGAGGAAAGGTAATGAAGAGGATCTAGAACAAGTAAGTGGAAGAGTCTGCATTGGGACCCTGTCACCACACCAGACTCTGAGTTAATACACATTTCTCTCTCCTCAAAGAGCGAGAGCAGCTTACCCATCAGCCAGGGGCTCTTGCCCCAACATCCGGGGCCTTGAACAATTATCAACCCCATACAGAATAAACAAGGACCTTGTGCATGTTCCCCACCCCACATTGGCTTCTACTAGAAGGAGAGAGGAAGAGTGAAGAGACAGATAAAATACAGAGATAGTGGCAGTGACAGAGTATGCAGTGTTTTCCTATCTGTTTATGGGAATGAGGTCTTGTCTTTAAACTGCCTAGACCCTAATGATGCTGGTCACTTTAATATTTCTGGAGAAGAAATAAATTGCTTTTAGACACTTTTCTTTGGAGAGAGATGGATTGCCTTGTTTTGCTTTGATGAAAGGAGCAGTATTTCCAAAGTGGGTTATGATCGACAGTCATTGTTGAACACATGGTTCATGTGATCGGCACACAGATCTGGAAACAAATGGTCACTAGTCTGCAGGTTCTCCCCATCACTTCTGCTTACACTGGGATATTGCTGGCTGCATGTTGTGTCACCCTCTCCAATCATCTCATGATGCTAAGTCAGGAGAAGTGGAAATAAGAAGGAACAAACCTGCTGAAAGACTGTGTGATTTAAACACATTTGCTCCCATGTGGAGTAACCGTTGCACAGACTCCTTCTGCACCCTTCCAGTTCTCACCTGGCCTGGATGACACCCTTCCACGGTGCTCAGACAGAAAAATGGCTATTGTCCTTGTCTCTGGACTGAAGGAATTCTTGGCATCACAGAGGTGCATGTTGAAGTCATTTGAAAATAAATCCATCTTCTTGGTGCGCATATCACTTTTCTAAGCCTTCATTATTCTGAAATAGCAAGTAGCAAGCATGAACTATATTTGGGAGCTACACTATCCATCCATTTAGATAAACAGGTAATTACAGTGATGGATAGCAGCTGTGATATTGAGGTGTGTACAGCCAGATAAGACTTGGGGACAACAGCCTAAGTGAGTCTCAGCTTTCATGTGGGAATTAGAGAGTGATTAAATCAATGTTATGTGTTCGGAGACTTGCTGTAGAAAAAGTAAAGAGGAAAAATTATCCCATAAAAGGAGGCAGCCTCTTCTTTGATGTTTGCCTCCCATTGTCTGTGGAACAGAATATGCAGAGGATTTGGATGAGACTCTGCATGTGCTTTAATCCTTGCAGGTGCCTCTATACCCAGTGTGTTACCTGATCAGATTAAAGAACTAATGATGAGTTGACATTCTTTCATTGAACCCACAACAGGCCTCTGGTTATAAAGGCAGGGATAAAAGAGCTCTAAGCTAGAGGTTGAATGAAATACTATGTCTGTTAGAGCTCTCATTCATGGGGAGCTCTGGAAAGCTGCTCTTTCTTTTTTGATATACCTCTTTCTGTCTTTCCACTTCTGGGTTTCATGAAACTCTGCAGGATGTGAGCACCAAGTCGATAAAGATGTCCACATCTCATGAATGAACTTGGTTATTTTTTTTTTTGTCAGTTGACTCATAAGGGAGCACTGTCACTTGCCATGTCTGTCCATGAACCCTCTCTCTTGTTTTACAGATTGTAGAGACACTATTTAATGCATTAAACCAAAACTTGGTACAGTTTGAGCTGAAGCCAGGGGTCCAGGTCATTGTATATGTCACACAGCTGACATTAGGTGAGTGCTTTCTGGGAGTCAGGGGGTGTGAGGATGGATGAGCTATTATTTTGAGTAGAAAAGGGAAGGAATAATCTCTAAAACCTTTTCTATAGATAATGCAATACCTAAGCCTATATGTGTGATAAAGACTGACGGTGTCTTGGGAGCTACTGCAGGAAGACTTTCTTACAAGTGGCTTTATCATTGAATCCTGCATAATATTTGGAGAAAATGTCCTATTTCTTTTACTTTGACTTTATATGTGAGGGGGTTGGGCTATATGGATGGTACTTGGGCTCTTCAAAAGTCTTTGATTCTCTGAGTCTTTGTTAGAGATCAGCTGAGAAAACTTTAAGATCCCATTCCATTTATAGTACATGAGTCCATGTGGGAAGAGAGACCCATTAGCTGTCTCTAGGTGCCTTACAAAAGGAATAGAAATGGCATGTCCCATTGGGTATTGGTGTGTAGATGCTGAGAGTCTGTTTGCTGGGTGGGTCTTTCTGAACTCAGAATTTATGGTAAAGAGCTTCTAAAGCTCATCACCTAGGGTACTTGTGCCAGCAAAGCCTGGTAGAGGGTTTAAGATCGTGTTTGTGGTTAACCCAAAGTTGCCAGTGTGCTGCCATATTGTTAAGAAGACTAAGGAGACAGAGAATTCAAACTCTTTACACCCTCAGCTAGTCACATGTACTCCATATATACCCTAACCAGCTAGTGTTCCCAGACACAATAAAGGAGCTTAAGTTTCCATGAAAGTTTAGAAGAACTCTTCTCATTATAGAAGCAAACAGGTAGCCTACAGGCATCTGAAGACTGGGAATCAGGGTGGAGACAGTCAGCCTCCATTCTGCACTGTCTCCACCCTCAGCACCAATCTCATGGTGAGAATATCTCTTCTTTCCTCCTAGCTCCACTGGTGGACTCCAGCGCTGGGCACAGCAGCTCTGCCATGCTTATGCTCTTGTCAGTGGTGTTTGTCGGCTTGGCTGTGTTTCTGATCTACAAGTTTAAAAGGTAAGTGCTGTTGTCTGTCAGTCAGATTGTGTCTCCAGGCAAGGTTCATTGCAATTGACTCTTCTTATGACCGATGGTCCTCAATTCATATCTACAATGTGATCTTCAGTTTTCTTGCTGCTCTCTTTAGTGCTGGAGAAGAATCAGGAGTGACTGAGAATCAGGGAATGAATGTGTATGAGAATTAGACCTATATTCATCTTGTAGGTTTGACGGATTAAGAAAATAAGGATTAGCTTTGAAATCTATTTATTTTCCTTAATAGATGTGTGAGACGATTTTCAAATCTCACCCATATTTCTGAAGTAAGTTCTCATATATTTCAGAAGTGTTTTCATACAGACCAACAGCCATGCAGGGTAGTTAAAAAAACCTTCATTTTCAATGAACACACACATACACTCATCTATATGTTTATGTATGTGTCTTTATCTCATATTGTCACTCTCCAGTATCTCTTTTTTAACCTGCATGCTAGGTGATGAACATATAGCTCAATGTGTAAAGTATTTACCTAGAATACTCAAGGCCCTGGGTTTTATCCCGACTACCATATAAACCAGATATAATGGTACATGATTGTAATCCCAGCACTTGAAAGATGGAGCCAGGAGGATCAGAAGTTCAAGATCATCTTCAGCTACACAGTAAGTTTGAGGCCACCTGGGCTACATGAGACTATGATTCAATTTTTTAAAAAATAAAGACTAAAATGTTATATACATATTGCTCCCATTTCATTCTTTTTCTGTTTCTAAAAAAAAAAAACTGGCAAAAGAAAACCCCACATGTATTGAGAAATTATTTTTGAAGGCCCCAGGAAGGGTGACATAACAGGATATTAACAAAAAGAATGAAGTCGAAGTGAACAGTTATGCACTAGTATTGGTGGAAGTGCTAAGGCAACTCTGTGTAGTTAAAAGGGAGGCTTATATTGTGGGGTAACTTACAAGTAAAGTGATAGGTTACAGGGTCCCAGAAAGGTGTAGTACATTCCAGCGGTGTTCTCTGGAGAACTCTGCTAGGTCTACCTCCAGTGTCCAGGATCCAGGAGCCAAGAGAGATGGCACATCTGGATCTCGGGTCTTAAGGGCCCCTCTCTTGGCCCTGCCTCATAGGCGTGACAGTTACTAGAAGCCTCCAGGTCAAAGCTGGAACAGCTACCCACTACACACTAGTATTAATTATGTAAACCTCCCAAGAGGTTTACTGGCTTGGAATATAAACTCTGAAGTCACATGAACTCAGTTACACTTCTGGCATTTATACTCTTGGACAACTGTATTTACATCTCCAAGCCTTCATTTCCTTATTTGTAAGATGTGGAAAACATTAATATCTTATGGTTTTGCTGTGTGAATTAAATATTAGCAGCTGTAAGTTCCATATACTAGGCAGTCAAGAAAAATTGATAATACTGAGTATTATCAATAACAAAGAATCAGAGGCTGTGTGTTCCAGTGATGCATGTGGGCCATGAATTGACATGTAATGTAATAGGCTCTCAAAAATTATGATAAAGAGTCATACTTATTGGGAAGCCTGGGTAAAATGAAAATAACATTATTAATTGTGTGAGTTTTTAAAGCATACCTTGGTCTGGGAGTGTTCCTGGGATAATCTTTGTGGATTGTAGAGGAGGTGAGTGGTAGGTGGTTTTACTCTTCTCGCCCCACTTTTCTCTTCTCTAGTGGATATTTCACTTGATTAAAAATGTCTGTTTTGCTTAATATAAAACTCATTGTTAGCCACAAGGGTAAGAATCTCTCAACTCTTTCTTATGCTCACTGGAAGAACAGACTGGTATTACTTCTCTAGTAGACTTACAAATCTGAATGGGAATTCATGTGTTTTGGGGTCAAGGTGGGTCAATCCATCTGCTCCTGCTTTGAATAGAGGAAAAACCCTTTGGGTATAATTAAAGGGAAAACGTCTTAATAAGAAAAGATAACACCATTTCGTGGATGTGCTGTCATTATATACAAACAGAATATCAGTCATCCAAGTATTTGTTTGTGAGAATTTCTGGGTTGTAAGAAATGTAGATTGGAGGGTGGGGATGAATATCAACTGAGTAAAATCTATCCTGTCTTGTTCTAGCATTCCATTCCATGGCAGATGAGGATGGGAGCCAATAGAAATCCTGCAAGAAGCAATTTTGTTCATCACATGTAGCATGAATCTTAACAGTTCTTATTAATAAGATCAAACCCGAGGCCAGTTATTGGGGTCAATGCTGGTAGATCAGAGAGACAGAACAAGCCACAGCTATCTCACCTTGCCAATTCCTCAGCTGGTCCTGTTTCCTCAGACTGGAAGCTTCTGTGTCTTCATCCCAATAGCTCTCAGCTGAACTGCTGCTAGAAAGCCTGAAAGCTTAACCAGCCAAATGCTTAACCAGGCAAATGCTTCTAGTTTCTGGTCCTCACGCCTTATAAACCGTTCTGCTTTCTGCCACCACTCCCTGGGATTAAAGGCTGCTTTCTGGGATTAAAGGCGTGAGTCACCATGCCTGGCTGTTTCCAATGCGGCCTTGAACTCACAGAGATCCAGAGGGATTTCTGTCTCTGGAATGCTAGGATTAAAGGTGTGAGTGCCACCATTTTCTAGCCTTTGTATCTAGTGGCTGTCTGTTCTCTGACCCCAGATAAATTTATTAGGGTTCACAATATTTTGGGGAACACAATACCACCACAATCACACATCTTCAAACTAATGCAAGATATCTTGTAACTTAGAACTTTTCTCTTGATGTTTAAAGGAGACTAAACTCCCTAGACAGTCAACTTCTTTACGTAGACAACTCTAACTTTGTTGACTTTCATACCTGAATCCACTTAGATAATGCTATCTCAGAATCACTCTTCTTTGTAGTTCTCAATTATCAGCCAGCACTTTCTTTGTCTGACAGTGGATTAGTGCCAGTCAAACTGGATAAACAGCATTAAGCCAAAAGTTAACCTTTACTTTCCTAGCCCACGTTCCTGTTCTGTGTTTTCCTCTCAATGCTCCAGGCCTTTGGTTGATACTTGGCTGAATTTTCTTTTATTTCCTGGGCCTTTTCTTTTCTTCCTGTCTTGTAGAATCCCAGTGGTGGCTGTGCAGGGCATGCCAGCTAGCAAACAAGTAAAGGTCAGACAGCCTCCTGGATCTCACACTCCTCTCTGCCTTGTTCATTACCATCCAATAGCATTTCTATAATAATGAGAATGCATCATAATCTGCACTGATATGGTAACTCGGCTTTTAATGTTGACTTTAATCAAAATACATGTAGTTACACCTGGCTACCTCACATTGATGAATGGCTCAGACAAGGTAATGGGAACAGTTGTACTTTTATTTCTAGACTATTTACTATGCCATATATACAAGCAAAATTTTCTCTTGATGTAACTACCAGCACAAACTAATTTAAATGTTCATTCATCCAACAAGTACATATTGAGTTCCTACTATGTTCTCTGCACTTAGAATCACCTAACAAGGTTAGTTAAGAAAAGCAGAGGGAAGCAAGATCCCCAAACATCCTTCAAGTAAATATCACCCCACCCCTTACATTGCATCTGCTTCATAGATAGTGAGTGTTGTTTCCAGACGTCCGCCTTACAATATAATTAAAAATACTTGTAAAGTGATTTTACTTTCCGAAAAATCGCCAACAAGACCTCTTTCTATCACTGTGTTTTTCCGGGTTTTTCAAGAAAATGTTTGAGCCCTTACATTACTTCCTACCTTTTTTTTTTTTTTCCTCAATAGGACTTTCATTATAGTTCAAAGTCTGCTTTCTCCATAACTGGAGCAAATGAATATAAACTGTACCTTATTTTGTTTGGTTGCTTGCTTTTTAGGATTCTTGTGCTCCTCCATCTTATTCCTCTTATTTAAACCTGTATGGATATATGGATCAAGAAACATCCCTTGATCTTTTTATGGAAACACAGAGCTCAGACTTGACTGACATCTTCTAAAATTCTACAAGTGGATGTGCTAAGCAATGAAAAGCAACTTGACAGCTTTTTATAATGTTACAAATTGTGATGTCAAAGTCAGTCCCTTCCAGTTATCTATTGAAGATGAAAACATGTTTACTTACAGGGATTGAAATAAAGTGAACAGTCATTGTAAGACCTAATGAGTACAAACACTTACAGGTGTCTTTAGCTACGCAGGAAGGGTAGATGACAAATTGTATGATCAGGAATGGCTTTACTGCCCCCAGACCTAGTGAATATTAATATTACAGTTGAACTTAACATTCATAAGCAATTGTAGTTTTCTAATTAGAAGTAATTTAATTCATTAGACTATATCTGTTTTTACCTAAAAATAAAAGTAAGAGCCAATCCAGTCTGTCTGTCTGTCTGTCTGTCTGTCTATCTACCTACCTACCTACGTACCTATCTATCTATCTAATCTATCTATCTATCTATCTATCTATCTATCTATCTATCTATCTATCTATCTATCTATCTCTGTCTATCTATCTGTCTGTGTGTCTGTCTGTCTATATTTTTCTCTAGATTTTCTTTTTTGTCTTTATTCCAGACTTGCCTTAAACACATTATATAGCTGAGGATGACCTTAAATTTATCCTTATGTACCTATCTCCTAAGTGCATGTACCCCATGGCCAGTTTGAGGGATGCTGGGGATTGAACCCATAGCTCAATGCATGCTATACAAGCACTTCTTTCAACTGAGTTGATACTACAACACCAGAATTTTCAATTCTGTACATTCATGGAGTATGTAGGTTTTTGCCTCCCAGATCATGCATATTTAAGGTATCAGAAATTAGGTCACATTGGTGTGGACAAGTGGGAAAGGAAACACAAGGACACAGCCTTTTGGAAAGAAAACAAAGACATGAAGATTGAGCATAGAGGAAAGATAGAGACAAGTGTGTGTTTAAAACCTATTTTCAGAATTTTCTTTGAGAGGTATCCTGGAAATCTTCATTAAATATTACCACTTTCGGCCTTATTTGGGGTTGGAATAGAATGCAGAAGATACAAGCATAAAAGTTTTACTGACTGAAACTAGGACAAGAGAGAGATGAACCTTTAGGAATGCATGGAACACTGGTGTGAAGTAGGCGTTAGAAGACATTTATTGGCCTCTGTCATTTTAGAATTTAGTTCAACATCCCCACCATCCAATGAGGTAAGAAAAATATCCTCTGGATATGATGTGCCAACATAAAAGTGCAGCCTTTTTATTGAAAACAAGTCTAGCAAAATGCATAGAGCACGAGTTTTGGATATTATATTTATCCATTCAACAAACACCTAATTAATACAGCTGTGTGTTAACTGTATAGCTGTGAACATAGGTCACCTAGACCTTGCCCATATAAACCTTATAGTATAATGAGAATGACAGAACAAGTCAATAAACATCAGCTACTATATCAACCAAAGCCCATACCTTACTAATTTTTGTAGGCCCTGTTTTACAATTATACGTTAAACCAGGAGAGATTAGGAATCAAAGGAGCCTTCAGAAGTAACATATGAGCCAAATTATGAAAGACAGGGATGAAACATCACCATGAGAAACATAGATGTCTTATACAGATAGAGAGAACAGTTGGTTCAAGGTCAAGTCCCCATGGGGAAGAGTCTTTTGTATAGATTCTTACAATTCAATGTTCAGATTAATAGGCACTCAGCGGCACTGATATCAGCCACTCCTGAGAACTTGGCAAAATGAAGATTCCCAAATCCATCCAGTTTGGATCTATGAGTCACAAGTCACATTGTACTGAAGACCATGGTTGAAAGCTGTCCACATAACTGTATGGGGAACTCTAGATTTTAGGCATGGGGAGGAGCCTGCTGAGACTGGAAGAGAGACAGGCAGGATATCATGCCAGCAGGGGCAGAGAAGAAGTCAGTCTCAGTAAAATTTCAATCTGAACTTTCTTCCAACCCTAACTTCCAAACCTCATGCCTACAAACCTACTCTTTTTATGTCTTTCGGGGAAGTTATTTAGCTTCTCTTAATCCTTTCCTTAACATACTCTCAATCCTAAAATGAAGCTACTGTTATTCCCATTAAACAGAGAAGGAAACTATCAAAATATTTTATATGTTTGACCCAGGTGTGTCACTCTAAAAAGTATAACAATGACTATGAGTCTGATATTTTGAACTGTTCATAAAATAAGGCAATAGGAATCAATTACATACATGTCAACCTAGTAAAAGATGCTAGTTGAATCTCATAAGACTCAAAGTCCAGCTACTTTGCAAATGTAATAACAAATAAATATCTTCAGGCTTTACTGAGTAACTGATCAACACCATTACCCCTTTAGAGGAAGTAGGTTCCTCTGTGGGTTCAATCTCATCTGGGCATCTTGGTTTTGGCTAGTCTTGCATCCTTGGATTCAGTGTCTCTGTGTGGCCAGGCATTTTCTCTGACACTGGCTGTTCCTGCTAATGACATTTCCTCTACCTACCCTCCAGCACTTCTTATTGCTTACTTCAGGCATGCCATTTTATCTCACTTTGATTTTGTTTATACCTCATGTAGGAAAATCCCCTGGATCAACATCTATGCCCAAGTCCAACATGACAAGGAGCAGGAGATGATTGGGTCAGTGAGCCAAAGTGAAAACGCCCCGAAAATCACACTCAGTGATTTCACCGAGCCTGAGGAGCTGCTGGACAAAGAGCTAGACACACGGGTCATAGGTACGTGTGCCTGTGCTACCACACTCAGAGTCCTGTGTCCTCCAGATGTTCTGTCATTAGCTGGCATTATATGTGCCACCAGATAGTCCTGGACTACAAGGATGGGGGAAGCACTGGTTATGGTGACATAATCTTGGTTGATAATTCATTTGCCATCTCTAGCCACATGAAATTGACAGACTATATACATTTTTTTCCACTAGAATTCAATAAAGATTGGAAATACGGGTGTCCCAGTGGAGGATGAGGTCCATTAATATTGGACTTTTTTTTCCTTTTAAACCTATAAATCCAAAGACATAGAAGTCCTTAATAATACTTACATGAATGCAGAATGAGGTATGGACTACCTTTTAGTTGGGCAATCTGCAAACCTTGTGAGTGCTCAGTATTACACATTCCTTAACTGTAAAATGGGAATAATAGTACCAAGATTCTGTCTATTTGTCATATATTGTCTGGAAATCTGTTCTGAAATTGTCCCCCTTGTTAAATGATGCTGTGAATTACTATAGTGTCTGCTCCATAGTGTCTGCTACATGCTAGCTATTGCTCTAATGAACACTATAGTGTAAGATAACTGTCACCCTATTGGTCCTACCTATATTCTATTATAGGAGGAGGATGAGAAGCTTGTGACCTGGTAGGAATATCCAGATGCTGTACCTAGTTAAAATGTATTACAATCTGTTCCAGGCAGTTTGGTATTTGGCAGTGAATGAAGCAAAGATTCAACAGCTTGTGGAACTTACTCTGTTTCCTCTCTGTGTCTTTTCTCTCATGCAGGAGGCATTGCTACCATTGCAAACAGCGAGAGCACAAAGGAGATCCCCAACTGTACTAGTGTTTAACCAAGAAGTCTTGTGGTCAACCACCTTCCTGACTTTTTATTTTTGATGACTATTATTACTATTATTATGGAAAAATGAAAATGTCTTTTTTACCTTTTGTTTACCAAGGGTCCCTTCATAAATAACAGACAGATGCTGAGCTTTGGGAGGAAACAAAAGCATCCCTAGTTGGTCACAATGGGATGAGGGAATACATGGTTATATCTGTGTTAAGGATGCATCTTCCCATAGGCTCTTTGCTTTACTCTCCTGTTGGCAGAGCAAAGACCTTCTTGTGTCCTTCTGTCTTTTTTTGAGTTGAGTTTCTGTTAATTTCTATCTCTCCTACCCCTGACACCCTCCACACCACATACACACACACACACACACACAACACATCCCATCCCCTGGTTCAATTGCAGGATGTAGGTTGAGTGGGGAGTGGACGTAGCTGCCAAAGGCACGCACACCTTTCCGAAAGAGGCCCTGCCTCGTGCATGTCAATACTGAGGCTACAGATGGCGTATTGTATATAACTACAATGTAAATAGCTTTTTATTTCCTAAGAAATAATTTAATGTTTAGTAAAAAAGAAAACAGAAAAAAAAGAAAGATGTGTGCGTTGGCTTATGCACTCACCTTCAGAGCTGACCACCCCCGAGCCTGCTTGATGTGTTGGATTCTGGATGCTCTCCAGCTGTCTGTCACACTCAACTCTTACGTCTCTGTCCACACCATAGCTGGTTTCTGCTTATGTATATAAAGGGGGCGGGGTGGGCTTCTTTGGGGCAATTGACAAAGGAAAGACTTCATTGGCATCTGAGAACATGGGGGTTGTTTTTCTTCCTAAGATAACATGGAAGAAGTCACAAGGCCTAGTAGAGTCTTCAAACTGAAAGCCAGTTGGGGAGATAAGACTTTTTGTGAAAAAGAGAACAAAAATGATGCTATTTATCAGCTTGAGAGAGCAGTACTCTCTAAAGAGGCCAAAACGTATCTAAGGGTCCTGGCGTTTCTGTTTTCTAATTGGATTCCATGAATATGTGCATTGCTCATGGTGAGTTCCAAGCAGTTCAGAGCTCAAAACAGTCCTTGGGCACGATGTTAGGTCCAGTGAGCATCAACTGGCTGAGAAGAGTCAGAGGGGAGACTGGAGGTGCCGTTTGTGGAATCCCAAGTCTGTGCAAACAAACCCTGCAGGCCAATTAGAGGCCTAGCCTTTAATGATATTAGTCAGAAATGATTTTAGCAAAGCTGTGCTATTTGCTTGTCAGATGTTACACAACTTCCTTAAAGTCGGATGTCTGCCTCCAGTTCCCTTAAGGTAGTTCTCGCCTCTGGGGTGAATGGCTTTCAAAGCCCTTATTCACTTTCCTAGCACCTCAGCCCCTCCACATGTTTAACATGCCAATTCTTTTCAGTAGGACCACTTCACACCATGCTGTAAGCGTTGTTTTTGTTTCCAGGCTCTGTCTGAGCACACTCATTTTAAAGAATGATATACTGTATATATATATATATATATGGAAGGAAAGGCCACATTTTGTACCTATTAACCTTCACAGGATGCTGTTCATGTTCCTCTTTGTGAGACACAGGGAGAATGTGATAGAGAAATCTAGCTGGATACAGCATAGGTCAGAGTTAGAAATGTTTCTAAAGATCCTTTTCATTTCAAGGGTTAAATGGGGCATACAATTGCAATATGTGTACTAAACACTGGAATACAGTGCATGAGTCATATCTATATATATACAGTATATGTACATATACTGTTCTTGGTTTTATTGTTCCATTTGAATATTTCTACTGTAAAAAAAGACAGTGGTTTTGAAATTGTTGAAAATAAATGTATTTTTGTACATCAAAGCTACATACTTGGCTGAGAAGTCTCTCTTTTAGTGATTTTCTTTTTTACCTACTAGATCCATCAGACATTGCTGCAATACTGTCATGTGGCCACCTCCCGCGCAGATATGGAAAGGCTTTTTGTGACAAATATGTATCATTGGTTTATGTGTCTTTGGGTAGATTGTGGTTCGGTGATCTGAAAGGGCCTACTGACTCTGTTAGACTTCTCTGGATGAAGGCTTTGGGCACTTTGAGTCTGCTCTGCAAGAGAATTGCAGAAGTCCACAGGAGACACACTTGAAACATGATGTGCCTGTTTACCCTTTTTGTCAATCTATTTACCTTTGTTCACATTGCCACATCCAACATCAAGGTCTAAGGAAATAGACTCTTCCTCCTGTCTTGGTAGTCACTACTAGATTACACAGAGTAAGGTGTAGATAAATATTGCCAGTACAGAGAGGGAATGAACAACTTAGAACAATAGTAATTTGCTAGACAGGTTTAGTTTCTATATCCCTAGTAGAACTTCTCTTAAATAGTCTGTTTAAATCAATATCCATGTTTGTTATTCAAGTGTAAATGGCCAGGTCTTTGAGCACAGAACTTGGTAACTGCAAAGACTTTGAATCCCATGTCAATTTCCAATGAGTGGTTGATCTGGAACTGCCACTTAGGTCTTGAAGAAGTTATTTAGTTATTTTTCTGTTGCTATGAAGAGACAACATGACCAAAGCAACTTATAAAAAATAATTTAATTTGGAGGCTCTCTGTTTCTGAGGGTTAGAGACCATGACCCTCAAGGCAAGGGAGCATGGCACTAGGCAGTCAGGCAGGCAGGCAAGCATGGTACTATAGCAGTAACTAAGACCTGACTTCTGATCTCCAAGCATGAGGCAGACAGAGAGAGATTATATTCTGGTGCATAGGCTTGGAGAAGAGAGAGCTAACTGGGAATGGAGTTGGCTTATAAAACCTTAAAACCTACACCAGTGACACATTTTCTCCAACCAGGCCCCACCTCTTTATCCTTCCCAAATAGTTCCACCAACTGCAGACCAAGCATTCAAATATATGAGCCTATGGAGTTCATTATTCAAACCACTACAGTTACAATTGGGGAGAAATAGGTCCACCCTTCGATCTACTCCTTCCTCCTGTTAGCTGTTTGGTTTGTAACACCAATTTCACATTTTCTTCTTTGGTCCTTGGATGGGAAGATGACTCTCTTCTTCACACTAGGTTATTAAGGGAATGTGAAATATGGCATGCATCAAGAAATGTAAGTGAGATGTTTATATCTCTTTATTGAATAAAATATCTGATAGATTTCTGAGTGTCTAAGAAACCAGAAAGATTTGACCAATAATTTATTTCATGTTTTGAAAACTAATCAACCATTCTGGAATTGCATTTGAATGCAAGGGATTAGGCAAATGTGGTTTTCTTTTTATTTGAATTTATTTAGAAAGTTGTATAATTCTTATATGCCAGTATGGAAGTCATTCTCACCTTTGCACTTCTTTTGTGCAGTCTGGGGGATTGAACCTAGAACCTGACACACCTACACCAGTGCTTTCTCACCAAACTACATGCTCGGCCCCACACGTCGTGAGTTTATATAGTTTCCTTCCTCAAATATCAAGAGTGTTCCTTAGGAATCTCCACAAGAAGCAGTGGGCTTTTCAGTCTATCAGTTTATAACTCAAAGTGGTTATATTTCTTTAATAGATTTTAAATTTAGAACTTCTCCAATGATATGAATTATCTGAAATCCCCATCATGGAAAAAGTGCTGCTTCCCACTGAACTGAGTTCTTCTGTTTATTTTATATATGGGTTAATGAGGTTGGTCCACCAGATTAACAATGAACCAAAGTGAAATAAAAACAGTGGAACAGTTTGAATCAGTCCAGTCATTTGGTGCAAGCCCTGGCTAAGAATAGAGACTCTGTCATCACCACCAGCACGAGTCTGTCAGATTTCCTAGTAGTAGACTGAAGGAAAGGGAGAGGGCAGAGAGTTATGGTTAGCTTTATCTGTTTCTGTGCAAGGCTCTCAATGGTGAAGAATCTCGTTGTATTAGAATTGCATTCTCTGAGGCTGTTCTAGACCCAGCAGTTAAGCCCACAGAAGCACTGAGGTGCTGGAGCCCAGCTATCAACTCCATCAGCAGACTCTCAAGATTCTTGTTGAAATTTGTGAATCACAGCTTTCTCTGCCACCAAAATAACTCAGAGACAAGGGATGGGTAGGAGTCACACCTTATTGCTTCTGATACAAGCTCTTTAAACTACAGATGTAAGAACAGCTTCCAGATTTGCTCCTTTCCTCTTGGGCAAAAGCAGAAATATTGAGAGTCACCTAATTGTGTTACCTTGAGTAACACTATTATTATAAGTTAGTGTATCTGAATTATTCCTTACAAAGAGCTTTGAGGCACAGGTTAGATCACTGACCCTCAGCAGCTTATTATAAACTATAAATTACACACACACACACACACACACACACACACACACACACACACACACACACCATTTCATGCCCTGGTAACTGATGTGTAGATTCAGAGGAATGTGAAAAGCACATTTCGAATTTCCCAAGTGTTGTAAGATTGTAGGTATGGGCATGTTAGAAGAACTCCTAGCACTTTAAGGGATAAATTGAGAATGAAAGAGGAGTATGACTCTCATATTATTATACATATAATCACAACAGACCTAAGTCCATGTCTCTTATAATAATGTGAAGTTAGAGCCCCCCCATACCTCCTTGAAAATGTGAAACTGTATTTTCACTACTGCAGACTGGTTATATGCCAGTATGGCTTCCATACTACAATATTCAGAGAGATTAGAACATAACATCCTATGTATGTTCATCATTTAAATGCTGCTAGCACCCCTCATTCTGTTGCCTTGCTAACCCAATTGTTTGGCAGCCTGTGGCCAGATGCTTTTGCTTCCCCCCATCATTAAACTGAAATAAGGCTGCTCAACAGACTGTCTGACCCAAGCCTCATATGATTTCTACTCACCTTTTGAAGAGGTTGGCCCTGTTCATAAGGAAGAAGGCCAGAGAGATAATACATACAATAGGAATGTCACATTCTGACACACACCAGATCCTGCCAAGTGTTCTTGTCTGTTTTCACAGCATTGCTGAAAGGGACCAAGGCAGCCCACCCATGACTGCCCAAGGATCTACTCTATCTTTATGTCCCTTAACTTACCTCACCTTACTTATTCTTAGAAAAGCAGAGTGCTCTTTAAAAACTCCCTGTATTTTCGATCCATGTATCATGAGTAGATATATATGTTCATTTTACAAGGGCAATGGAATACTGGATACAAAGAATGCAGAGGAGAATCTCAGTTGAGGTCAAATTCCCATGGACAATACATGTTCCTGGAATTAGAGCTGTCACCTTGCAATTATCTGTGTCTCTTAGGGAAAAACTGACAATTTTGGTCCAATATTCTTATTTTTAAATTGAGGATAAAGACATTTGTTTTACAAAGTTGGGACTTAGATTAAATGGTATAATGTGGATAAGAACACATAAATAATGAATTGATTCGGAACAACTGCTCCTATTGCCCTGGCTCCTCATCCATAACAGTTTAAAAATTCTCTAACCATCTTCTCAGTTGGATTATATGACAAGGGTGGGGCAATTGGAATTATCTAGAGAAACATTCTGGGCTCTCTCAAAAGATGAACAGAATTTTAAGATCTGTTCTCCCACATTGGTCCCCAGAGTCACTTTCTTTTATTCTTTTCTTTCCTAATATAACTGGTCTTACTTTTCTTATGCTATATAGAAGGAGCTGGAGATGGGCTCTTCTCCTCCAGGATGCCCGGAACACATGGCAGAAGGAATCTCAAAGGCTCCCAGATTCTGAAATATGCTAATTCTTACCTTGTGGGTACACCCAGAGATAGCCATGCCAATGGGACAAAAGCAGCTTGACATTGCTTATTCAAATGTCTGAGCTTAGGCATTTGTAAATAACTTGCTTCTTGTAACTCACTTCTCATGCAATGCTCTTGTGAGACTATGTGCAAGCAAGTCCTTGGATCTCTCCAAGCCTCTCTAACAGTCACTACTGTATGTTCCTTCTTCACAGACTTTGAGAAACAATCCAATAAAATAATAATTTGTGAGAATGCACCAGTTTTAGCTTCCAGAATGCAGACCACATGATTGTAGAGTGCCTTTCATTTAGTCATAGCTTGGGAGGAATTGATCCTGGCTGTGCATAGAAAATGAAAATTATTTTCAAAATGTCATCAAGAACATGGAGATGGATTATGACAGCCACACATGGATCTGTCATTACTGCTTATTCTTTGGTTAGTGATGACGTTTGTAGCTATTAGAAATTAACCACATAAGGACCCTCAATGATTTGCTACCCAAGAAGCTGGGGGTCTGGTCCCACAAGAGGAGACTTCTGGAGCTGAAACACCTCTGGTCCAAAGTGTCCCATGTGAAGGCCACTGGGCTCTAGAGATGTTTTCCCATGAAGAAGACCTGATTCCTCCTCTTTTGGACTTCTCCTGGAAGATTCTTAAGATGTGGTGTCTTGTTTCATACCTTACTTGCAGATGATTACTGCTGCCAAAGACCAGGAGCTGGCTGACATGAACATCCTGCCCAACTGTGGTGGGCAAGAAGAGAAAGGAAGCAGCTGCAGCAACAAAGAGAAAGCAGAATTGATTCTTTTGTCCCCAGTTTGTCTCTTCTGGTTTCTGGGTAAAATCACCTGGGAAGCACATGATTGTCTCTGTCAACAATGCACCTGTTCCTTAGAGTGCCAAAATGATTTTCACATCCTATCCTTCCAAAATCTTATGGTTCAATTAGAAGATTGCTGGTTTCTTCTATCAGCAGCTGGAACTTTTCAAAGGAGGGGTACTGAGAAATAAAGTTAATCTTTGTCAATTAGAAAGTGCTACTTGACACATTCTCATTTCAACATGTCAATTTCAGATTCTCCTCTGTGAGGGAAAATTA